GGGGGGGCGCGGGGCCCCCCCCCCCCCCCCCCCCTAAATCCGCGCCTGTATCTGGACAAATCTTTATGCCTAGCAACGGTATACATGGTTATAGAATGTGAAGTCTGACTGTCTCCACGTTATGATCCAGGGAGAAATCAGGGGTGAGACCGGACCCCTTATATAATCAGGGTAGCATGAGTTTATTCATCTCTTCAATTGTATATATGGTTATACGATAGGAATCTCAACTGTTTTCACATTATGACCCAGATAGTAAGTAACAAGGGATGAGGACAAACCCCAGGACCAATTCCAATTGCTTGAGTCTATAGATACGTCTCTTCTTTTCTAGAAATCATATATGGTTAAAGAATGGTGATCAATGGTGGCCAAGATCACTGAACCAGTCCTGTTAACATAAGTGTCTTCTTCTCGTTATGCCTAGCAATTGTATGCGCAGTTTTAGGGTGGGATATCATCAAGCGATTATCAAATAATACCCAGGGAATAAGTTCCAAGAAGTGAGGCTAGTAAATGTTGGGGTTGGGGCCGAACCCCTGATAGCATTGATGTTTTGTCTTCAAGTCAAGCTATTGTATTTTTGGTTACATGGTGGAAGAGTAGGGATCTCGACCAGTTCCAAGTTTTGGCCTAACTTCTGTTTCCTATGTTGGAAACAGACTACTGGACAAATTCTGGTAGCATGAATGTCTTTGTCTAATGATGTCGACAAAGGGTATATATGGACATAGGGTGGGGATCAAACTATTTTCAAAATTATTACTTAACGTCCTCCATTGAGCTTCATTCCTCCATCAAACAGGTACCACAACATTTTTTTTATAAAAACTTGAGTCACTTTGACCAAAGAATACTCTGGATATGATTTGGTTAAAATCCCTTCATTTGTATGAAAGATGGATTTTATAGATGTACCTTTATTTCACTTATAGGGCCCCACCCCTCTGCTAAACAACAATGAGTGGATGGGGTTTCATACCCTCAACAACAATGAGTGGATGGGCTTCATACCCTCAACAACAATGAGTGGATGGGGTTTCACACCCCCAACAACAATGAGTGGATGGGGTTTCATACCCTCAAAAACAATGAGTGGATGGGGTTCATACCCTCAACAACAATGAGTGGATGGGGTTTCACACCCCCAACAACAATGAGTGGATGGGGTTTCATACCCTCAAAAACAATGAGTGGATGGGTTTCATACCCTCAACAACAATGAGTGGATGGGTTTTATACCCTCAACAACAATGAGTGGATGGGGTTCATCCTCAACAACAATGAGTGGATGGGGTTCATACTCATTATTACTTAACGTCCTCCATTGAGCTTCATTCCTCCATCAAAGAGGTACCACAACATTTTTTTTATAAAAACTTGAGTCACTTTGACCAAAGAATACTCTGGATATGATTTCGTTAAAATCCCTTCATTTGTATGAAAGATGGATTTTATAGATGTACCTTTATTTCTCTTATAGGGCCCCACCCCTCTGCTAAACAACAATGAGTGGATGGGGTTTCATCCCCTCAACAACAATGAGTGGATGGGTTTCATACTCAACAACAATGAGTGGATGGGGTTCATACCCTCAACAACAATGAGTGGATGGGGGTCATACTCAACAACAATGAGTGGATGGGGGTTCATACTCAACAACAATGAGTGGATGGGGGTCATACTCAACAACAATGAGGGGATGGGGTTCATACTCAACAACAATGAGTGGAGGGGGTTTCATACCCTCAAAAACAATGAGTGGATGGGTTTCATACCCTCAACAACACTGAGTGGATGGGGTTTCATACCCTCAACAACAATGAGAGGATGGGGTTCATACTCAACAACAATGAGTGGAATGGGTTTCATACCCTCAACAACAATGAGAGGATGGGGTTCATACTCAACAACAATGAGTGGATGGGGGTTCATACTCAACAACAATGAGTGGATGGGGTTCATACTCATTATTACTTAACGTCCTCCATTGAGCTTCATTCCTCCATCAAACAGGTACCACAACATTTTTTTTTATAAAAACTTGAGTCACTTTGACCAAAGAATACTCTGGATATGATTTCGTTAAAATCCCTTCATTTGTATGAAAGATGGATTTTATAGATGTACCTTTATTTCTCTTATAGGGCCCCACCCCTCTGCTAAACAACAATGAGTGGATGGGGTTTCATCCCCTCAACAACAATGAGTGGATGGGTTTCATACCCTCAACAACAATGAGTGGATGGGGCTCATACTCAACAACAATGAGTGGATGGGGTTCATACTGAACAACAATGAGTGGATGGGGTTCATACTCAACAACAATGAGTGGATGGGGTTTCATACTCAACAACAATGAATGGATGGGGTTCATACTCAACAACAATGAGTGGATGGGGTTCATACTCAACAACAATGAGTGGATGGGGTTTCATACCCTCTGTTAACACACTATTGAGTCTCCTACCAAATGATACTCCAGACTAAATTTATTTAAATCCTTGTATCAGTATAAAAGGTTGTATCAGTATAAAAGAAGAAGGGTTTTGAAGAAGTACCATAATTTCCCCAGTTAGGCCCTATCCTATATTAAGTCTCCTTTGCTCAGTGATGCATATGACAAAAATTAATCTAAATCCCTTCATCAGCACTGAAGGAGAAGTACTTCATAGAGCTACCTCTATTTGCCCTATTGGGTTCAAACCCTCTCTGCTCCAAGGGGGACCACCCTCACCCCTCCATTTATACAAAAGCTAGTCCCAATTTTCCCATGATGCTCTGAATCGAATTTGGTAAAAACACCTATACACATGGAAGGATTTTAAAGATTTACCTCTTTTTTCGCTATTGGTGATGAATTCAAACATGCAAATCTAGTAATTCTACTCACTGAACATCTGTAGTATGTCTTTACTTTAATGATATAATCAAGATCTTTGATTCTAATTATCGTATAAATAAGATAAATATACAACATGCACATATCCCTGAATATTGTTTATTTCATTATAAAATGGCTAAATTATGGCTTTGGCATATATAACAAAATAATGTTAATGGTCCCACAACACTCAACAGTCTTAAATATTTGGTGTATTACCAATGAATGTAATCAAGTGTATAAATAATATACCATTAATCAAACATATTTAGTCAGTTAATATCACAAAGAAAACTATTGTAAAAAACAGGAAACGAGATGTTATTCTCACGCATATGACAAATGTTAAAAAATCAAGCTCCAGATCTCTTCAAAAAAGTTTAAAATAGTATATCAGATCTTGAAACAAACGTAACCTCCAAACCACTCAAGTTTACAAAGTGTTTTTTTTAAATCCTTTTTTTATTTATTTTCTATATTATCTATGTAGTAACAGAAATCTGTCTTTGTGTGCGTGTAGGAGAAATAGTCTGGTGGTGTGACAATGGTGATCACACCTCAGCATGTGTCGTAGATTGTCTGGTGGTGTGACAATGGTGATCACACCTCAGCGTGTGTCGTAGATTGTCTGGGGGGGTGACAATGGGGATCACACCTCAGTGTGTGTCGTAAATTGTCTGGTGGTGTGACAATGGAGATAACACCTCAGTGTGTGACGTAGATTATCTGGTGGTGTGACAATGGTGATCCCACCTCAGCCTGTGACATAGATTAAGCTTCAGAGTCCTTTGGTGACATTTCTGGTGGTGTGACAATGGTGATCCCACCTCAGCCTGTGACATAGATTAAGCTTCAGCGTCCTTTGGTGACATTTCTGGTGGTGTGACAATGGTGATCACAGCTCAGCGTGTGTCGTAGATTGTCTGGGGGGGGGACAATGGTGATCACACCTCAGTGTGTGACGTAGATTAAGCTTCAGCGTCCTTTGGTGACATGTCTGGTGGTGTGACAATGGTGATCACACCTCAGCCTGTGACATAGATTAAGCTTCAGCGTCCTTTGGTGACATTTCTGGTGGTGTGACAATGGTGATCACACCTCAGTGTGTGACGTAGATTAAGCTTCAGCATCCGTTGGCGACACTCTTTGGTGCGGTTCTGATCTAACTGACCATTCAGACCAAGATCCATCATACACAGGTATGTCTCTACCACACAGGTGTCCAGCTAAGGCGAGGCAGCAGGCAGTCACTCCTGTACACATCAAATGGGTTAGGTTTTAATGATCAATGATATATGTAGGAACCTTAGTATTTCACATTTCAAATCTGTCTTTTGTTTTAACTTAAAAGAACATATCAAAGCTGCATACAATGTTATACACCTGATTCATAAAAACAAGAGGCCCATGGGCCTTAACGGTCACCTGATATATTTATACAGAGAGTTGATTTTGTTTTTAACACGAACNAAATTCACAATTTTGGTAGAGCACCTTAAGACCCTTCCATCTATGAAGAGTGTTTGATTCTACCATATCTGGGTCTTGAGAAGAAGATTTTTGAAATTCGTGTCAATTCAACCCTTTTTGGCACCACCCAATAGCCCCGGGGGTGTCAGTCAGGGCTCATATGTGCATACCATCAAACTGCTATCCAATACTGATAATTTAATTACTTTCAATAAAAAATTAAACAAATGTTGGTCCAAAATGTGATTTCCCTATATAAACTATAGCAAAGTTTACCTCTCCCCAGGGGTACACGTGAGACCCCAGGGTCATAAAGTTCACAATTTTGGTAGAGCACCTTAAGACCCTTCCATCTATGAAGAGTGTTTGATTCTACCATATCTGGGTCTTGAGAAGAAGATTTTTGAAATTCGTGTCAATTCAACCCTTTTTGGCACCACCCAATAGCCCCGGGGGGGTCAGTCAGGGCTCATATGTGCATACCATCAAACTGCTATCCAATACTGATAATGCTAACCTCAATTGAATTACCTCCAATGGCAATTCAACAAATGTTGGTCCAAAATGTGATTTCCCTATATAAACTATGGTAAAGTTTACCCCCTCCCCAGGCTCAAGAAATTCACAATTTTGGTAAAGCACCTTAAGACCCTTCCATCTATGAAGAGTATTTGATTCTACCATATCTGGGTCTTGAGAAGAAGATTTTTGAAATTTTAGTCAATTCAACCCTTTTTGGCCTGGCCCCTCAGGGCCAGGGAACCAAACCGGCAACTTTTTTTGTTGACCTTTGGCCATGGAAGGTTTCTGCAAAATTTCATTGAAATTGGTTAAGGGGTTTTGGAGAAGAAGTCAAAAAAATGTCTCAGGTGACCTAAAAATGCCATGTTTAAAGTGTTTTAATTACAAACTGGTACAAAAAATATGACATAAAACAAATGACACGATGGTCGAGTGTTGTAACAGTATAAAGTTAACTTACTGGTGTCAAAATATAACAGTAAATAAAACGCATAACGGTAGTGACTCAAAATTTGACAGAAAACAAATGAAATTCTTACATGTTTAGTAACATCAATACCTGATGATGATTGTACATGTCATTTTTGGAAAGTAACACTTATGTGATAATGTCCAAACACTCAAACTAGCACTTTGGTATTAATAGATTATAACCAAAAAAACATTAAACCAGTTTATTATCAGATCATATGACAAACAACAGTTTCAATTCAAGTTCTAAAATTATCCACTGGTAAGAGGAATGCAAAATATACAGGATATGTACCTGATCCACATGTAGCTGTAACAGGTTTTTCTAAATCAATCTTGCCGTCAGTAAACATTCTTTTCAGATCAGCAGGATTCTTCACTTGTTTTGTCTCTGGGTCAATAATGCTACTGTAGGGAATGCTAACTGACCCGACAATATGTCCCCGTGGCATTCCTGTGACAAAAAACAAATGCATTCAACTCATTTATAAGTGTGTATAATTTCATTTAACGCATGATAATTAAAATAGACAAGAGGCCCAGGGGGCCTGTATCACCCACCTGAATATTTAAGCAGTCATAGCAAAATTTTCTCATTAAATATTATCCTGTACTACAAATATTTCACTCGCAATCTTTGTCAGCTCCATCTGTTGAAACTACCAGCCAAATATTATTATATGATTCTATGTTTTTTGGTTCTTCCTTGAGATGTTGTTTGACATTTTTGACCCCTGTTACCTTATAAGTAGGTCAAGGTCATTTTCTTTTTTACACTTTGTCGGGCTCTATCACAGGAAGCAAGCAGCCAAATATGAAGATTCTATACCTTTCAGTTCCTCAGAAAAGTTGTTTGAAGTGTTTGACACATTTGACCCCTGAAACCTTTCAAAGTAGGTCAAGGTCATTATCATTCTCAAACTTTGTCTGGATTTGGTCCTGAAAGCCACCAGCCAAATGCTACTGACCGAATAACATCACCCTAGGCCTGTTGGATATTCAATCCGATTAAAACCTTATCTTGATCTACACTTTGTTTCTGTTTTAAAACTAGATAGAGCATAGTTTACGGAAGAGAGCGTAGATCATAATTTCTTATGGTTTTAATCAGATTACTTGGCTAGATTCAATATCTGTGGCCTCTTAGTGTAACATATTTGACCCTTGTGACCTTGAAAGTTGGCCAAGCTCATTCATTCAAGAAATTTTAATAACCCTTATTCCAGCATGCTATCATCATTTTAGGCCTCTTAGTTACTTAGAAAATGTTGTTTAGTATATGCCAGACAAAGAAATCTACAGGTAATGACTAAAACTTTGATACGGAAATAATTTCTGAAAAGGAAAACGTACCTTTCATATTATGAAGAAATTTTGTTTTAGCACCAGCCAGACCTGGATTTGAACCCCAGACCTCTAATCATTTTACACTTACTGTCACTCTATCCAACAAGCTATATATAGCTATCTTTTCAACTCGAGTATCCTGGTCTAGTTGCGCTACAGTTATATTCAAAACTAATTTAAGGGGAGATTACTCTAAATACCAATTGGAATTCTAAACTGTTTTGTCTGCAGTGTCTATGGGACAGGGCCGGGATCCATATAAACTATATGGTCGGATCTGTTTGAATCCTTTGTCCACCAAAACAAATTTCTACAAAGACTGCTTTTTACCTTTTCTTGGTTCTGCAGTTGTGCCATAAAACCTTCCAGTACCTCTTGCATCCACAAGCTGGAATTCTCTGTTCTCTATGTTTCTAGCAATATCATCAAATGACTTTAACATTGATTTATTTATAGAAGCAGAATAGGTTTGTTTTGTAAAAGATGGCTTCTCTGAAGCAGTTGGATAACCTGCCAGACACCACTGTGGAAACCCTCCGTTCAGAAGAGAAATTGACTGGTGTCCAAAAACTCTGAATGTCCACCATGCTCGTGGGGCCGAGAAGAATCCAGTTTCACTATTATCATAAATAATGACATGGGTGTTGTTACCGATCCCCAAGCTACCGACATAGTCTTCAAAGTGGGACTGGCGTGGCAGTGTATGGCTGAATTGGGACGTTTCGTCGGAACATTCGTCAATATCGAAAAAGGAAGCTTTTGGAATGTGTTTTTCAGCATATTCAATGTTAGCATCCCTTTGTAAACTTGGCAAGTGCCATGAAGAGTCTAGAACTCTGATATTCTTCACGTTTCCTGACAGGAAATCGCGAAGCAACTTGGCAGAGATAAGTGTGTTGAATTTCTTCATCGTGGTGTTTGATGTAGGTACTCAGTTACAGAAATTCTACATTTCAGAGTTCCTGTAGTGCCAATGGCTTGGTCAAGTTCGTGTTCCAATCTGACATGTACAGGTCCTGAAGCAGTTGGATAACCTGCCCTGTCCCCTGAAGGTTGACAAAATGCATGCCGCTTAAATAAATACAATTTAATATATAAAGTTTCATATTGATTTATAGATTTAAGTGATTTTATTTGTTGATTTTCTACAGCGTATTATTTATTAAGTGTGCCATTTTAGTTCATATAAGAAATACAGCGTAATAAGATGCAAATTTGTGTTATTTTTATTTGGTAGGATATAAGCGACATATGTTGTCAGTTAAGATGGCGGATGAGGAGGAACAAGATTCGACAGAGTCTGTGGACGAAAAGAGTGACGAGGAGGAAGAACCGTCAGCTAGAAATGCACGAAAATGTTCTTGGCTCTCACAATCGTTACTCAAGAAAGAGAACAGAGCAAGAGTGAAACAGGTGGATAGCTTTCATGTATAAAAACGTGTTGAAACACCACACTCATGTCTGATCAGACCATTAGGTTCAGAATGTGACAATGTTAATTCCTGTAGGAACTCTATCTAAATCAGAGATTGATCGTTATAAATCTCTGATTTAGATAGAGTTCCTACAGGAATTATGGCAATGTCACAATGGAGTGGGTTTCCTAGTAATCGGTCGAAGCTTATAATTGTATTGCTCATTACTGTACAATTACTGCATTTGTTTGTCACCACATAATCATAGTTCGATCTCCGTTGTTTCAAAATTCATATAATCTTGATAAACAAAATGTATTTGGGGAGGGAGGGGGCCCAATAAACCACTGTTTGAAATTCTATCAAAAACGAAGAATAACAGTAATACATTTAATTAAACTAAAGTATGCTTCTGACTCACGTGAATAAAAACAAAGTAAAGCATGCATATTTACTACAAACTGTCCAGTTGGGTGTATACATAATGTGCATTTCTGTGTATAACTGGTTCCTATTAATATTCCTTTCAACAAATTCATTCTTAAAATATAACTCCATTTCAAAGACATAAATCATGACTTCAACTTTTGAAGTCAACCAGACAACATGTCCGAAAAGTAAAAATATCACATGATACAGGGCTCACCCAGGACCTAAAAAATCAGTAGCCAAAAAAGTAGCCATGTTTGAATTTCAGTAGCCAATTGTTTTTAAACATTGGCCATGCTTTATCGGCCTCCAACCGCCAAGGAGTAGGCACTCCATTACACTCATTCAATATTTCATATTTTATAAAGTGCAATACTAATGATGTTAAATTAAGGAGTACTCTGTTAAAATTAAAATTTTGTTATACATCATGTTTATAATCTAATCCATAATGTGATATTTTTTTAATACTTTCAGATTAGATGGCTGTAATTATAAGAAAATATTACTTCAATTAAAATGCTGAAAAAAATTCAAAAGGGTAAAAAGTCAGACTTTATCTCATTTTCTTGACACAGGAATTGTGAAAAAATCTAGGTTGAAAAGTTTAAATTTTAAGATATTATTCGCCTTTAATTGTGGGCTTAGATAGTCTAATTCCGTGCCTTCAATCTAAAAATAAGACTTCCAAATCAAAAGTAGCCTCAGTGATGCAATATTGATTATTATTTTTCCTGGGTTTACATTCACCGTGTTTCATGGTTTATGTAAAAAAAAAATTTTTTTTAAAAGATCTCACATTTCAAATGTAAATGGCAGTAGAACACATTTGAAAGGAGAAGGACAAATTTTTAACGGTATTGACCAACCTTTGAAATAAAACGGGAGCACATCACGTCGCACAACTTTTCCTATCACATGTCGTCGATTGGCACCTAATATAAGTGACCGTTGAAGACATTCTGGACGGTTTGCTGTTCGAAAAACATAACTGCGATGCTAAATAACTTTTCTCGATCACTTGAAATTCTAAAACGTCTAACCATGAAAGTACACAGATACGATATATCGTTTGAAGTGATCTAAAAGGCCGAAAATCGGCACTTCGACATGGCGATACTTATACTTGACATCCGAGCATATCGGACGTATTTCTGCTTGCTACAGTACTGGGAAAGGTAAATTAAGATGTACACAAATTTAAATATACTGAACCCATTAATTTGTTGGATGCGTTATTTAAACAAGTTGATCAGATTGGCATATGGTGCTGCCAAATGTATGTGTGCGAGCTGACCACCTATCATATTATGTGTGACTCGCTTTATCAGACTGTTTTTTCAATGTCAATGGGTCATCCAATTAACTTGACCCCACTAGTGTCCATTATTGTACAGGAATTATAACACCTTTTGCCACCTGAAGCTTGATAATTGACTTTATAACTTAGACAAAAAAGCATTAATTAACTCGCAGCCATACAGCGCGCGCTGATCTGTGACGGCCCTGATTATGTTTACGCAATCAGTGTCAGCCACAATACACACGTGAGTAGACAGATCGTTTTCTGGGACAATGATACAGAGTTTCCCCAATTCTAAAAACTTAGTAGAGTCAATTTAGTAGCCACATAGAATTTTTAGTAGCCCTGTGATAATTTGGGTGGTGCAGTGGATAGCGCACTTTCGATTTCCCGATCGGACGTGAAAAGGTATGGGGTCACCTGCCCGACCACATGGGTTTTCTCCGGGTACTCCGGTTTCCTCCCACAATAAGACCACCATCCCCCGCACGCTAACATCCGAGCCAACAAGAGTGATTAATATAAATTGAAATAACTTGTTTCATAATTGTTGTAAAAATAAATAAATTTTATATCATATATACATGATAATTCGGTTAATGCAAAAATGAATGTCATGCTTTTCTATTAGTAAAAAAATTGCACAATTTCTTTCAGTTTGAAACCATCCTACTTTTTTGTATCAACCCAATTAGCATTGTTAAAGCATGGTCAACAAATTGCTCAAAAGAAATAAATATACATTTTGTGTGTTATAAATAATAAAATACGACAAGAAACTACAAGTTGACAAATTAAAACAATCCTAGATTTCAGCAAAGCCTTTAATAAGGTTCCCCATACCAAACTCCTCTACAAATTAGGTAACTATGATGTGAACCCTGACATCCCTCTTGACTACCAGGACCTAGCAAGTACTTGTAGAATGCAGCCAGTCAACATCAGTGGAAGTAGAGCCGGGGTACCTCAAGGAACAGTACTTGGTTGGACCAATACTTTTTCTGTGCATATCAATAATTTGCCAGCTTGTGTAACATCTTCAGTATGTCTTTTTGTCGACAATTGTTTGTTAGACCAACTACACTTCAAAAAAAGACCTTACATCCTCAGAAGAATGGGCTGTTAAACAATGTCGTTCAAGGCGAAATGTTACATCCTCCGAACTTCACAATCCGGGTCACCTAGCACCTTGATACCAACTTGATGGCCACATACTCGAGGAAGAAGAAGATAACACATACCTAGGGATTGTTATTCACAACTCAATGAAATGGAACACTCATATCCACACCATTACAAATATAGCAAATTTTCCGTCCATTCCATTCTTTGGAAAAGATACATTGTCAAGCTTTCAGGTTCTTAATATCTAATTTTTCGAGGGAAAGCAGTGTGATGTAGAAGCTGGATGCCCTGAAACTGACCCAACCCAACCCCTGCTCATCCTACATCTGACTCACTGTGTGCGCATATTCTCAAGGGGGTTCAATGTTTGGGAGGGGGGG